TTGAAATGATTATTTTCATATTCAATATTTATATTTTTAATTAAATCCGAATTTCTATGGATTATTTGAGAAAAATAAAAGACATGGAATAGTTTAATTTAACTTAAGGTATTAAAATTAAATGATTCAAATGAATTTTATGAATATGAGTTTTTGACTAAAATTTGGCATTTAATATTCCTACACAGTTCACTTATAAGATAATATTATTATTTAGCATTGGAATATTTTTGAAAAATTTTATACTTAAGTTTTAATTTGAACCTAATATTTCTTAATTATTAGGGACCCTCTCTGAAAATTCCTAGTTTGATAGTTTTGGAAAGATTAAGTAACGAAGCTTGTCAGCGTACATTCCTTGTACTTAAAAATATAAGTCAATATCGATGATCCTCTTGCCCTATCACTCTGTCCGGAGTGTTATGAAAGTAGTGCATATCTCTTAATAAGGATGTTGGCTACTCTGTTTTGGACTCCTAATATCTGTTTTAAGGTAGTTGAAAGTAGATAGAAATTCGCACCATATAGCATATCGCACCTTCAGCTTATTCTGACTATCTAAATGTCTCTTAGTGCTTCATGATCAGAGAATAGAACGAACATTTTTGTCAAGTAATGTCGCTAATTGTCAAGTGTCCTCACAATAGCAAAATATTCCTTGTCATAGATGGAGTATTTTCTTCTAGTTTGATTCAGCTTCTCACTGAAGTATACGACTAGTCTACCCTCCTTGGTAAGCACACTCCAATCCCCACATTAAAGGCACCGCAGTCAACCTAAAAAAACTTATCCCAGTTTCGAAGGGATAAAACAGGAGCCTCGGTTGCTTGCCTCTTTAATGCTTCAAAATTTTCTTAAGCTTTGGAGGTCAACCCAAATTTATCTTTCTTAAGTAACTGGGTAATGAGTGCAGTGATAATGCTGAAGCCTTTTATGAACTGACGGTAGAACAACACTAATTCATAAAAACTCTTTACTTCAATCACTGTCTTAAGTACAGGTCGATTAAGGATAGCTTCCACCTTGCTCTCATCCATTCAATATCCTTACTCATCACGAAATACCCTAAAAAAATCACTTTTTAGTATAGAAGTGGCACTTTTTGAAATTTACATGCAATTTCTGTTATAGTAGTACCAAAAAAACCTACCTCAAGTGCTACAAATGCTCCTTTTTTTTTTTTTTTAATCAAACAAGGATGATACCTTGAAGAGTTTTATTAGCATGTTAAAGCTGGATATAAGACACCTAGGATTATGATGTTTAAATAGCCGGGTTTAAATTCAAGAGAGAGAGGTTTAATTATAGATGAGGGTGTGATGTTTATGCGGATGTTAGGTATTGCATGTCAAGAAGGGTCTATAGCTGTTTTCATGGAGGCGAGATGAGGATGTCGAAGGAAATGGAGTCTTAACTAAAAAAAAGGTGTTGGTGATCCTTTGGGTGATGATGGTTTGGTGATAATGTTGATGGTGATGCTTTGGGTGATGATGGTTTGGTGATAATGTTGATGGTGATGCTTTGGGTGATGGTGGTTTGGGCGATAATACGAGTGGGATGGTTTAGGTGTTGGAGTTTTGGGTGATAATGTAGGTGGTGATGCTTTGGATGATGGTGGTTTGGGTGATAATGCAAGTAGGGATACCGTAAGTGTTGGACTTTGGTTGATAATATAGGTAGTGATGTAAGTAGTGATGATGAAGACTATGTACCAATTGAGGAACCACAAAGTGACGAGTAGTTTAAGTGATGCTGGTTTTGAAAGTTTTATTGATGAAGAACTAATTGAGCCTAGAAAATAAAAGAGGAGTATGAAGAGGAAGTATGGCTCGGACGTCGAGTCGGTGATTATTTGGTAGCACCAACCCCATTAGTTAGGAGAAATTCGATCGATCCAAATATAATAGATTTTAACCTAATGAAGGAGGGTATGTCAATGCATATAATAACGATAGTGGGGATGAACGAGATAACTCCGCTAGAACCGATAAAGATGATATATTTTCCTATAAGACAAAGAAAAAAGAGGAAAGAGTCAATGAATATGATCCGACATGTAACCATAAAGAGCTTATTTTCAAGGCCGGAATGAAATTCACAAATGCCGACCAATTTAAAAGGGTTGTGCAATTATATGGTATTGAAAATAAAAGAGATGTCGATTGGGTTAGGAATACAAAAAATGTTATGGAACCTAGATGTGTTAGAGGTTGTGAATAGAGAGTGTATATAAGTAAGAAGCAATTAGAGCATACATTTGAAGTGAAGGTTGTGCATCCCGAGCATAAATATGAAAGATAATTGACAAATAGGCAAACTATCGGAAAATGGCTAGCCGAAACCTATCTCTATAAGTTTCGTAATAATCCTAACTGGCATGTAAAGAAAATATCGGATGTTGTCAATGATAAGTATGCATTAATAGTAAACATTCGTATGTGTTACAAGGCTAGACATATGGCTCTAGACATGCTTAGAGGTTCCTCGATCAAGCATTATACAAAATTAAGATATTATATGCTTGAGTTGAAGAGGGTAGACAGGAAAGAAACTTTCTGTTTTGAAACTATAAAGGGTGAGAATTTGGAGTTTAGAAGATTTTATGTTGACTTTTCAACATTAAGAAAAGGGCTTTAGATAATTGTAGGAGGGTGTTTGGTCTTTATGGTGCTTTCTTGAAAACACTTTTGGAGGGATGTTTACTAACCGCAATAGGAAGGAATGCCAATGATTAGATGTTTCCTATCACGCAGTGCTATTTTTAATAGTGAAAATAGAGAAAACCGAAGATGGCTTATGGAATTACTTACAAGCGATCCCGGCATTATTGATGGAAATTCTTAGATAATTATCAATGACCAACAAAAGGCAAGTTCCAATTTTGTTTGTTTGATATTTGTTGCTATTATTTTACTAATCTAAGTTATTGTCACTCGGTATATTTTCATCCTATTACATTATTCTAACTTCAAATTAATTAATTAAACCATTAACAATCAAAAGCACCTAAACCCAAATTTTTTTCTAAATTGGGTCGAATATGGCCTAAGCTAATTGAGTGAAATTCTTCAATTTTTATAAAAATTTCTCATACTCATTCATCAATTCATGCTTAATCAACTCTTAATCAACCAATAATCCATTAAATAAGCAAAGGAATTGAAACCCCGAATTTTCAAGTTTTGGGCCAAATGCACCCTTAAGCAATTCAAGGAAAATTATTCATTTTTAATGTAATTTTTCACACCCAATCATCAATTCATACCAAATTAAAACATAATCAAGTAATAAATAATCAAACCAAGCAAAGTATCAAAAACCCTAAAGTTTCTAATTTGGGTCGAATGCTTTCTCTCTCTTAAACTTAGAAATTTTGCATTTTTATTCATCAATTTTAAGCTCAATTAACATGTTTTAACTTCAATTGCTTTAATTTCTAACTTAAAATTATTTTTTCTCACTTTTCCTCATCAAGAAACCTAACCCTAATTTTCAAAAATTAAGGCAACCAAACACAAATTAAAGCTTCCAAATCATTAATTGACCTCAATTAAATACTACTTGTGATATAGATGAGATTAACTTACCTAGATAAGCTCCAATTTATCTTTGAAAAGTAGAATTTCCTTGCAATTCCTTCCCCTTTTTCCTTCTATAATTTAGCCTAAACTCAAAAAAATTTTCCAATTTTCTAACATTTTTCTAATTTTCCTACCACCCATATTTATAGGCAAAATTAGGTAGACTTTTTCCTTTAGTTGACTCCATCTTAACCTTTCATTTCATTTAATCTTGGCCCTTAATTTTTTTTTTAATCATAGCCTTTCAATTGGTTTTATCTTAGCCATCCATTTATTTTTAAATTTTATCCTTCCATCTAACCACTCTCTTTAAATCTATTCCTTTCATTTCTGCATGCATTAATTATACCCTAATTATTGAACTGGAAGGGGTAGCAAAGAGAGAAAAATCTCTTCCAAAAAGTGTTTAATTTTGGTTCTTAAAGTTAATAATCTTTTCTTTAATTACTCCTTCATAAATCTCTCAATTATTCAATTGATTAATTTAGCTCCTTCCTTTAAAGATTTCTTAACAACTTTTGAATTCCTAAATTTCATAGCTAATTTAATTTGAAAATTCAAACTTTTAATTTGAAAATTCAAACTTTTAATTTCATTCAATTAGGTTCCTAATTCTAAAATTTTATTCCATACCTTTTCAAAATTCAATTTATTTTCATAATAAATTCAAACATCTCCTAAAAGAATTTTATAATTATTCACATAATTTTTATACACTTATTTTGGCCTTCAAATTAATTATTTTGTGTGAAAATACTCTTTTTCCTACGTAAACTATTCCCCGTACATAGAAAAATTCAACCAAATTCATAAAATATTCTTGCACACCCTAAATGATTTTTCTATGTTCATTGGGTAATTTTCTTATACCTTTAAAGCACTTAAATTAATTAGTCTACTTATAAAATACCATTCATGCACTCGAAAAGTTCAAATAAAATAATCATAGAACATCAAAAAATTCATCCAATATATGGCATCGAATAATTTAATACTCCTCTAGCAAATATTTTATGCAAACAAAATATTTTTCATGCATATTTAACATACTTAAAATAATTATTTCACATAAAAAGTGACTATTCATGCATCGAGCAATCCATCAAATATTAAACTATCTTAACCGCTACGAATATTCTACCAACCCTTAAGATTATTCCATACCCACAAAATATTTTTTATATGCCTTTAACATTCTTAAATATATTGAATAATGGTTGTTATCGGATGGCAGGTGTTACACTTCCAGTCAGTCTAGCCTTATTGCCTTCTCCATAAGCCGCAATGTGCTCTTTAATTGCTTTCTCGAGGACTTGATCACCGTAGTCTTTATCAAGACTCTTCATATATATATATATATATATATATATATATGAGGGGAAAACATCAAAAAAAAAAATTCATTCCAATCGTATTTATTCACCTGTAATTTACGTGTGCACCAGTTTCTTCCCAATTGGCCTGTGGAAAAAAAAAACACAAGATGGAAGTCCCTAAAATAATGATGCTTATAACGGAATCCAGAGTTTCAATATTCTTGAGAAGAAAGGGTTGCTAAATAATGGTAAAATTGAGGACATAAGTTAACCTGATTAGGTTGTGGATTAAGTGAAAACACAACTCCAGCAATCTCTGTAATTCTCTGTTAACAAATGGGTAAAAACTTAAGACAAATGCATGAACTGGAAGTATTATAGTATCTATATCTGTTTTTCATCGAGTAGGTAAAGTACCTCCAGTACGTAGCGAGCAACCCATAATTGATCTCCAGCTGAGATACCGACGGCAGGTTCAAGTTGAAATTCACACTGATAGGATGAAGAATGATTTAATGTTGGAAAAAAGTAAGTAATTATTAGAATTCAATGTGTAGAACCATTGACTAATGAGAAAGTGCAGAAGGGAAGTTGATTCTTTGATCTGTTTTACCTGGCCAGGTATCGATCCTCCATTTAAACTACGTACTAATCTTGATTTCTGCATACAAGCAGGCCTTGCAATGTAATTCAGCAATTTCTCTTCCAAAGGCCTTGTCAGCACCAAAACCGCAATGCATGGTGTAATACAATCACGAAAATTGATGTCATAAATATATTAACAAGCTAATTTTATTAATAAATTTATTTTAATTTATATATTTGTATAGTTCTGCTAACTAAGTATAATGATAATAAAATACAAAAAATTATTTTTTTAATATAACAATCGTTATTTGCTAAACAACTACTGTTATATAGCGATAATGGCATATAACACAGTTATTTGTGTGAAACGTGGTTATATTCCTCATAACAATGTATAACAGTAACGGATATGTCCGAATCCGTTAAATAACTATGGTACCAGTACTCTTCCAATCACCCTTGATCCAATCGCTCTAGAGCATGAGATAAAGAAGCAAATAAATTTCAGATTCATTCCAGTGATGCAATATTTTAGCAGTAAGTGTGTGTGCCCCGACTCCATTCCAATCGCTCTAGAAAAAGAAGATATCTATAGTTTGCAATTTTAAATTCAATGTCTAATGAAAGTAAATCAAACAAAAATCGAACTGAATTGGCTTAGGATGGAATGAATTTATTAGAGCAAAACTCCAGTAACCTCTTTAATCCTCTGTTAACATAAACATAAATACAAACATTAGAGACAACATTATAAATTGGAAAATTAGTAGTCTTCTATAACCAACCACATTAAAGTTACCTCCAAAGTGTTGTAATTCATCTCGGGCAGAGACACCAATTGTCCGTCAAACAAAAAATTCGCACCATAGAAGATGAAGAATGTTTGATGTTGCAAAATGGACAAGGTCAAAAGGGTTCTAAATTTAAGTGTAAGATCAAACGCAGGGACTAGTACACTTCAAAGGTTTCATTCCTTGAAACAACAGTTTGACTACCTAGGAGACAGGATAACCACCAATAGGCCACCCAAGAAGCCATCTAACAACTTTCTGCAAGCAACAAGGTGTATTCTTGGCAAAGGCCATACCTGGTTTCTTCAAAAATTAGAACCTCCAGAACCATATTTATTAGAACATATATGTTTTACTTGAAAGAAAAGAAACTAGGCTAATGAAGACTGAATACGTAATTGAATGGAAAATTTAAATGGCCAACTTTTGTTTGCACTACACTAGTGAACAGCCCTTCATAGTCTTGAAGTAATTAATGTAAATGGTATTATCAAGTATTAATATTTTCACCTTATATACAGAAAGAAATAAAAACTTAACGGTCTGCATAGGAGCCTGTTATTCTATTTATATGGATTCCATAATCGAAAAATAATCCATTGAAACAGAAAATGAAGGGAAAGGAAAAATAGTTTCATCAAAATCTCTTGCTTTCCCATAAATCCAGGTGCCTTGCTTCTTGCCTGAAGTGCACACTGTGATCAATTCTGCTTTCCGTTGTGATGAAAATGCAAGCAGCTTAGCAAGAAAAGGATGCATGAAATCGTTTCGAAGTGTGACATTTTATTTGTATCGCTTTTTATAGATGGAAATCGTCCAAGAAGAAAACCATCCAATGTATAGCTTCTCCTTGGGGGAAATGTGGGCTTGATCTGATAGCAAAACTACCTTGGTGTCTCAGAAGAAATGCCCGCCATGCACGCTGAAGCAGGTTGTTTAATGCCTGGATACGATAATAAGTTGATAACCTCTTCAAAATCTCATCTTCTAGCATACCACGTTCCCCATGCAGCAAGTTATTTTTTGTGCCATTTAATTTAAGGCAGCGATCAGGGCAGACAGGACAAGGCAGAGTAAAGATAAGACGAGCTTTCCATAGTTGAGAACCATAAAGACCCACACGCTTAACAACTGTACTAGTGATGCTTATCAAAAATGAAAGAACTAAGGCTTTTTCTTCCAAAGATTTCACTTCAAGTGGAGGTGGTGCTACATTCTTCCTAAGAACCCATGTTTGAAATTCCTCTCGTTATTATAGGAACTGCAATTCCGTAAAATAAACTATGAACCTACGAGAATCAAGCAAAGGTAGAATACACAACCGATCCATTATTGGGTCACAACCATAAGTGATAATCAGCCACGAATTTCTTCAATCAAAACCATCACAAATTAATAATCTGGGAAATAAAGGTAAGTAAAACTCTTAATGAACAAAATGGCAACCACCAACAATGATCCATGTAAAATATCCAATACAAAATTCTTTTAATAAAGAGTTAATAGTACTACAAAGAAAGAAGGATTTCAACGCTTCCCTCCTCCTCCACCAAGCTTGGGACCCTTGGGTGCAGCACCCTTTGGAAAGCTACCTTTGCTGCTCTTTTGTTGCTTGGCCGTTACCTCAGCCTTCTTGGCTTTCTTCTCATCCTTTGTTTTCTTAATCCTCTCCTTAATTTCACTGCACACATCAACACCATACATTATCAATAAGTGCCAACAAAGACTAGCTAATCGAAGTACATTGGACAACCAATAAGAAAACATACCGGAGTGCAGCCTCTCTTGCAGCATCACGAACTTCAGGTTTCTCAGCTCGCTTCTTCTGTATGACCTCCAAAGTAGCACCGACAATGGATCTTGAGTAAGGTTTTTTTGTGGTGCGACGTCTCTTCCTAATAGTTTCAGCAGCAATGTCCTGTATTCATTAGGAAAGATATGTCAAAGTCAACATCGTGCATTTCTTTCTAAAGGGAAACTCATACTACACACAGAAGCATTCTACATTCCTCACTAAGTTAATAGAAACTATAAAAAAGAATCACCTTCTTATGTTGCTTCCTGTACATAGCTGTCCAGGTTAGTTTTGAGGGCTTCAGCTTGTTGTGGAAGTACCTCTTGCATTTAGAGTTTGCAAATAGGAAAACCTTGATTGATTGAAGAAGGATTACTTAGTTTCATAGATAGTATTGAAGAAGATATTGAATAAAAAGAAAATGCAATGCCTTTGACACCAAACTGCACATTACCTGGGAATCTGAGCGAATGAATCTGATACCCTTGCCAGGATATATCTTTGCCCCACTGAAGCGGCAGAGTTCAGTCCTGAAATCATCCAGAAGGAAACCATCAGGTTAATAAGATCAATATCTATTGTCAAATCAACAAAAATGATCCATTCCAGACCAGCAAGTTTGATGGTTATCATGTGCTCACATATCTAAAACCTCAATGAAGTCATCTGCAAATAAAAATGCTCCATCACAGGACAGGCAAGTTTGAAGGTTATCATGACTGCGTATCTAAAACCTCAATAAGGTCATTTGAATGATCATGACAAATCTCAGAACAGCATCAAATCCTAAAGCCCCTCTGCATAACCCCAAAAACTACCTATTACTCTCAAATGCCAGTTCAATGACTAAGTAGTCACTCATTCTTAGCCACATTAAAGTGTTCACTTTTTTAAAAATCAAACCAATAGTAAAAGCCCAAGTATAACACTCCAACTAGAAACTTTCAAGTGTCACACACATCACTAAACCTTAAACTCACGTCCCCGCTTCCATGTTATACAGTCTTAGTCATTCCCTTGCTGTCTTTGTTATGTTTTCCTTAATTCTATTCCTGCCCTACATCAACCTCTCTGAGACATAATTATAACTTAGTGCTCTAACAAGGATATCACGACTCTGAAACACAACGAGAATAGTAGTGTAAGTTGAACTAGGGACTTTTAACTTAAAATCCGGTTTTCTATTTGAAATCATAAGTCAATTCAATTCCCAATTTTATGCTAGCATTTTCTGTCTTCTTGTTAACATATGAGCAGCTAAAAAGATTCACTTGATTCCATTCTCCAGAATGCATAGCCAAGCCGTGAACAAGGGATTGAAAGTGGCAAAACCCCATTACCAAAATACAGCTTGCGTTTTTAAGTTTTATAAAATGAAACAAGCTCAGCTTTTAGCCTAAATTTCTACATCACATATTCAGATTATACTATACTGCAAACGAACCAAGATGACTCAAATTCAATCCAAAGATTCATAGAACACTTAAAAACTTAAAAAAAAACAAAAACAAAAAACAAAAACAACAACCCATAAGGAAAAAAAACACAGAAACGTAAAAACCATTTTGCATAGACATTCAAATGAAAACATACTAGAGAGAGAGACGTACTTGAGAACCATGGCGGCGGCAGCTGTTTTTCTTTTGGCAGGAAAGAGGAAGATTAGGATTTAGGTTTTTTTTGAAGAGAATATATATTTTTGTTTACTGGGTCAATGTTGCTTTAGAAATATGGGCTGGACTAATTACAACATAAAATGGGCCAAACCACAATATAATGTGGAAACCTGTGTCTGCTTTTAACATGGGTCTGGTTACTGTGCTCATGGGCCTTAGTAGTTTCCCCTACTTTATATGGTTAAAATTTAAATTGACCCCTATAATTTAGATTTGTGACAAATTCATCCACAAATCAGCTTAATATTTTCGTTTTTGTTTCACAGTATTAAACACCAAGCTAATTTTTGCAGCTTTCGCTTATTGAGATTAATTTTTCTTGGTTGAGTCTTAGATATGTCATATTTATACATTTATGAGAAATTTCTTTCGTATAATAATCTTTTGGATTCAAAATAAAATGAAAAAATAACAAACAATGTTACTTATCATCAAAGCCAATCCTCCTAGTTTTTTTTTTTTTTTTTTTTTTTCATGCGTAAGTAATTGTTTGATGCAGAAAATGCATATTGTATTTTTTGTATTGGTAGTGTCTACTCATTTCTAATTAAAGTTGCAAATAATTTGATTTTAAGTTTTTGAGATCTAGATTTTGGTCTATTTAGATTCTAGTTTCCTTGCTTCTGAATTTCATAACGAAATGAATTATTTCCTTCATTTAGCATCTTCTATCTCTTGTTTCTTTAGATCTATGAAGACAACTAGTTTCTCTATTTTTTTTTTAAATGTTTTCAATATTTAGTTAATAGGTTTTATTAAATGTTGGTGTTAGATCCAATTTGAAAGAGCAAACAAAAACATCATTTTTTTTTTTTTTGACGATCAAATATATTCTTATACTAATTTATGCATCAAATGAGATTTAGTTTTTTTCTTCAAATAATTTTAATGACGCACCCTTTACGTCAATATAGTGCATTAAAAAAATATTGTGAAAAAAATCCAGAGATGTTTAAAAACAGCAAAATGACATTAAAAATTACAAAATTATCCAATATTGATACTAATAAATGAAGAAATGCACGAAACTCAAATTTCAAGATTTTCTATTAGTTTAACCAGTTACGTCAAATATTCTCTATTAATGTTGCTAAATGTTTCAAGTGAAAAAGAGGTAAACAAGCAATTAAGAAAGACTCAAATTCTTCCTGTAAAAAATCAATGAGTTTTTCAAATGTCATGTTATTCTCAAGTAGGTGTCATTCTTTATGTATTGCTATTTTATTTTATTTTTTCCTTTAATTACATCCAAAAATCTCTTTACTTTGTATTTTTTTTTTTGATAACCTGTGGTATCCAGGCCAACTTATGCGTACCTCGACTAATTCCCGGACCCACCGAACACCCCGCAAGCCCAGTGGACGGGTAAGGCGTCGCGGGGGTAACGAGCATGCGTAGAGAGAATCAAACCCGGATGTCATCGATGAGCGACCCTCAACCTCACCACCGGACTCGCGACCTCAAGCGCACTTTATATTCTTTAATATGTATCATAATGGCATGTGGTAAGGTTCACATGTCATGTATTTCTTACACTCAATGTTTATTGTATGACAACTTCGCATACCAATTAAAAAAATTATAATTTTGTGAATAGTCATTGTATAAAGATCATAAGTAACATTATTGTATTAATTTCATGTAATGATCTAATATGATAAGTAATAAAGCATATTTGAGATATTGGAGAAAACTATTTGAATAATATGCTTAATTAAAATTTTAAATGATACCATGTGAAACATGGTTGAAAAACAAAACAATTTGAATGGTATGACTACCTAGTTAGTATACCTAAATAAGCAGTCCTTTCAATCTTTATCAAAGAGACTTTTTAAAAAAAGTTAATGTTAGGAACCGAAACCAACAATAATCCTTTTGTTTTCTAGTTTGTATATATGAAATAATTTTTTAGTTGGTTGTGAAAAACTTTAAAAATGAGCTGCATTTTTATAGTTTGAGATCCTTTTGGTTTAATTTATATTCATATTCTAACTTATTTTTGTTATATGTATTGATAGGAAAAAAATAATTATATATTTGTTTTAGGGATGTCAATTCAGGTCAAGTATATCTATCTATAAAGAATGCTATTAAAATTCTAAAAGCATATTGTATTTTGGTAAAATATAATAATTTTTTAATTGAATCTTGTTTTGATAAAATCACAGTTTTTAGTAATTTATTAATGTTATATTGAGAAAATAAAAATTAACCTTTAAAATAAATATTATAAAATAATAATTTTGAAAAGTAATTCATCTTTCTAATTAACATCATAATTAATCACTACCTAATATAATAATAATAATAATAGTCATTAATATTGATTTTACAATTGTATTTTAAAAGGGTGAGATAATATTATATACTTTCTCATCAAGTTATTATTATTGTTTTTGAAGCTGTCATTATAATGTACATGAAAAAAACTTCATGAAAGAAAAATGAGAAATATAATTGTGCCTTTAGTTAGAAATTATTTAATGATATATCAAGAGTAATAATTATTAGTTAAGGTATGATACTTTTACATTTAAATAAAGTACTATATGTTTGAATAAAATAAATTCTATATTTCAAAACATTTTTAAAAAAGGAGAATTAAGAGTTATATGGCTAATTTAATAAAAAGAAAGATAGTACAGGGTATGTAGAGGAAGAGAAAAGTGAAAGAGGCAGAAGAGGGAAAATCTGAATAATTGAATTCAAAGTTTGTAAACTTCATTTTCATAAAAAAAAATTAAAAGAAAAAGAAAAAAGCTTATAAACTTCACATTATAAGTTTAATTTGATTTTCATACTGCATGGTTTAGCTTTTTTGTTTTTTTTTTAATAGAAAAGGAAATAAATTAAGTTAGTTTTAAGCATTAGAATTGATATACATGGGGTGTGAATGATATTATTTATTATTTCTATTACAATGAAAAACATAAAATCATTGAATTTATTTCTCATAAAAAGATAATGGATTACATAATGAAATAATGAGACATTTTAAACAAATAAAAATGTGTTTAATTTTTATTTAATAAAAATTCATAAAAACCAATAAAATAACTTGAAAAAAAGGTTAAAACAGCTCCTAACTTCTTATTTTCCTACTAATATTTGTGTAGGCCCATCTCAAGAACTAGATAAGGACCTAGAAGAATACAGGCTTGAACCTTGATTTCATTTTTAGCCCAACTGCCGAACCCAGCAGAATAAAACTGTAAATATCTCATTCAACAAGGGCATTATCGTCTAAGAAACCATCTTCAAAAATTTAAGCGGCAAAAATAAAAACGCAGAACCAAGACAGGTATATTCACGTGGAAGAGAATATTGGATGGAGGAAAACGTGTTGGGTTAAAAGTCTTATGAAGTCCTTTTTATTATTTTATTTGTCTTAATCATATCATTCAACTAATTTTTCAATAATTATATCCCTTAATTATTAATTTGTGTTTTAATTTTAGTTCATCTGTCCAAATTTTCTAGTAATTGCTTCAATTTTTGATGACAAATACACAAAATGCTGACACGTGACATTTTTTATTCACAACAAATAAAAAAAATAAAAAAATACAAAATTCCCCTCTTTAGACCTTTATATATAGAAATAAATAATTAATTTCATCCCTCAATTTTTTTTGCTTTCTCTCAAATTTTTTTAAAAAAAATTTATGCATATAAAGCAACATAAGCAAAATTATTTATTTATTTATTTCAGAAATTTATTATGAAAAATTCTTTCAAATCCAAACCAAAAAAAAAAGTGAACTTTCTAATAGGAATTAAAATAAACTTTCACAATAAATTTATGAAATAAATAAATAAAAATTTAGGTTTGGATTTGAAATAAATTTATGAAATAAAAAAAAATCTTGCTTATGTTCCTTCCTATACATAATTTTTTTTTGTTTTAATTTGAGAGAAAGCAATAATAATAATAATAATATGATTGATGAAATTAATTATTTACATACATAAAGGTAGAGAAAAAAGAGAGGCATTTTAGGATTTTTTAATTTTTTTCAAAATTTTTTATTTTTACATAATTTTTTTTTCGAAAAAAACATACCACGTGTCGACATCTTGTGCGTTTTTCATTGAAAATTGATGCAATTATCAAAAACTTTAGATAAAAGGACGAAATTAAGAATAGAGAAACATGATTATTGAAAAAATTAATAGATGAATATGATTAAAACAAATAAAACAAGTAAAGGAACATTTTAGACCTTTAACCCAAAAATTTTTAGGATAAACAAGATAAGATAAGGATCAGTTGGGAGTAAATTATAAATTAGTCTCTCTAATTTCTAAAAAAAAAAAAAATTAGTAGTTCCTGTCATTTAAAAATTATTTTTAAAGTTGCAAATAGAATGGAGACAACAAAATTTGTCAACAAACCTATTTTTTTGTATTAGTAGTGTTTGCTCATTTTCCAATCAAAGTTGCAAATAATTTGATTTTAAGTTTTTGAGATCTAGATTTTGGTCCATCTAGATTCCTTGCTTCTAAATTTCACAACCAAGTGAATTTTTTTCTTCGTTTAGTATCTTCAATCTTTTGTTTCTTTAGATCTATGGAGACAACCTGTTTCTCTTCCGCCTTTTTTTTTTTTTTAAATATGTTTTGAGTATAAAGTGATTGGTATGATTAATAAGTTTTATTAAATGTCGGTATTAGCTACAATTTGAAAGAGAAAACCAATACATCATTTTTTTTTTTTTTGACAATTAAAGATATTTTTAGACTAGCTCATGCCTCAATTGAAATTAATTTTTCTTTCTGAATAATTTTAAGGACCCATCTTCACATCAATATGATGCATTTAACATAATTTTTTTTTGGAACACTAGTTTTAAGATTCAAACTCTTATGAACACACAATATCTCTTTTAAATGTGAAAATACATGCAAAACTGATAACATCATTCTTAAAACGTTATTTAAG